ATTTGTATATAAGCCAGAACAGTATTATTGTACAATACTGTATAAATAGTATTGTGTAATGAACTCAAACCACTGAGTACTTAAGTTGAATCATTGTGCATTTAACTCAAATTTTTCTATAACAGGCTCTGTTCTTAACTATGGGTCGTCTATAACCCGGGCGTTCTTAACCGGGAACTACCTGTATTCTTGCTTTATTTCCAGGTTAGTTCACATAAGAAGTTGACATACACACACTTATCATGGCATGGAGTGAACACAAAAGCATAAAGCAGAGTACTCTGTATAGGAGAAGGATGGATTCCAAGTATTGCTGACCTGAATGCATTACTTGAACATAGGATAACATTAGAATTAAAGTAGCCTTGGTATTAGGGTGAAATATGCAGTATCATACATTTTCTTATGCAAGAACATTGTGGCTGCCTTCACACATTTGAAGAAAAATTATAATGAACTGTGCATGTCTAGTAGAATTATTTTATGTTTAATATTCTTAACTTGTAGAATATCAATTCTACAAATTCTTAATTTGCAGAAAAGCAAGCTACTGTACTATATTTATTTGAGAGGAAGACTAAATTCAATAGTTTATATTTAAAATGGGGAAGTAATCTTAGATTTGCTGAGCATATATTAGAGGAGAAAATTTTTGCTAATGTTCCTTTTAAACTTGCATGCAGGATTGCCTTCCTTTCAGGTAAGTACAGTATAAAATAAATTGCTGCCACAAACACACTTAATAGAATAATCTAATCTTGCTCACATGGCTTTTCATTAATTTAAATAAAAGTTAATTGCTATTTTTTAAAAAATGAACTTACCTTTAGATCATTTGAGTTACAAGATTTTTTAACTATGCTTTGAATGACTCCAATCAAAATGCATAGCAGTACCCCGTTATCAAGTTCCTCCAATAAATGCTCTGCTTTAAGTTCAATATCTATAGAAGAGCCATGATTTTCATTAGTAGAGAGAAGATAAAACTCAGACTGATAATTCAGATATACATAAGCATAGCCTCAACCTAAATCCACTGGGGAATAGCCTCTGTAACACTGCCTTTTGATGTGGTTTACCTGTGATGGGACTGTGGCAGATGTCAAAACTGATATACAACGTCACAGATGTCATTCATATTCAGAGCACATGATCTTATTCTTGTATTTTAAAGTAATATTTAAATTTCAGCCTGTATTTTGGGGCGTAGGTTAAACAACAGTGATTAAGATGAATATTGAGCCTTGTACTGTTCTGACTAGTCAATGTTTTAAAAAGCAGAGATGTGCATTTAAATTTTTTTTTAGGTAAGGCAGTATTATGTACTCTTAGCAATGACCAGACTTCTATAAAGGGAGAAACAGTAACATAAGTTGACACCTTCTGTTTGTTTTCTACATTAGTGGTTTTAACTTCTATCAGCATGGACTCTAAATCTAACTCTATCCCTACATCTTTAACTACAGTAATTACAGAGATGGTTCTTCAAACAAACCCAACAAGCCAGATAGCCAGATAGCCAGGTCCTCTTGCATAGGAATTAGAGTTGCCTCATGTCGGACAGATATCCATTGGTCATATAGTAAAACATCAGCCAAGCCAGGGCCGTGCCTTGGAGTCAGTGGACTTCGTGGACTGATAGGTGGATCATCTCCAAACCACACCTAAGGTGGATATCAACAACTAAATTAGACTGTTTGGCTACACCTTCAGCACCATGCAACAACTGATCATGTTTGCAATCCGTTGTGTGACTCTTTAAAAAATGGAGAGTAAAGTCCATAACATTGTATGTTTCACAAATGATTCACTATTATTTTAGAGAACTGTAGCTGTATTAAAAGGTGGATGTCGGCTTTCCATTTGGCTTGTACAATCCATCTAGATTACGGTATACTCTGAAAAATGCCAGTATTTAGTTTTCATTTTTTAAAAAACAAATAGCAAGTTGACAAAACAAGAAGCATAAAGCACCGTTATAGTAGCACATTAAATCTACAGAGTCAGTTATGTTCTTCAGATAGATATACCACAATATAAGGTAGGAAAATATTTAGTAAATATATTAATATTTCAATTTGCCTACCTGGACTGTATTCTGCATGGTAATTGTATGTTCCTAGGAATGGGGGGGAAAAAGAGAGACTTTCAACTAAAAGTGACAAATTGTATTTATATTCATTAGTTTTTCTATAACATTGAAAAGACAGCCAACAGATCAACAGAAAGTAAACCAATACTGATTAGGAGTTCCAAAGACACTTTCTAATTGCGCCCGTACTGTTTTTCTTATCTGGGATGGCTGTCCTCTTCCACTAAGCATGCAGCTTCTGGAGGGATGTACATGGGGTGGTGAGAGGAGAAGGGGCCACCTGCCCAGCCAGCCAGATCAGCTGAATCAACCCTGGCAATCAATGGGGTGACAGATGCCACAGAAAGATCACCCTCATATCCATTCCTACTTGATGGCTTGAGTTCCACATATAGGCTGATGTCAACATACATGCCCTATCATAAAGTTGAAATTTAGATGCAGAAAATCTAAGGGTCTATCCTTTCCATAGAAAATTATCAATCCTATCAATCTACTTAAAGTTAATTAAAATATTGGCATAGGAATAACTGTCGATATGAAATATTCATTGCTTGCACGTTTGTTTCCCATATATTTTAAACATATATTGATTTTTATATTTTTACATTAATCTGAGATTTTTTAAAAAACGATATACAGTAGCTGCAAATGAAGAACATTTGCGTGACTATTGCCAAATATTTAAAAGAATTCAAGCAGCAATTGAAACCTGAATTGTTACAAATTGCCATAGAAACATTTAAAATATATTAGACTCCAATGAAGTGAATAACCAATACTGTATGGGAAAAATATATATATATATATCCACGCTGCCCAATATTTTTGTATTGGAATGCAAATCCTGCAGTATGACAATATTTAGAACACAAGCTTCCTTTTAAATTTCCTTTTCAATTCATTTTCAAACCACACATATAAAAGAATTCGCTCCTGTACCAGCATAGCTTAAGTGGTGAATTTAAAACTCCATCAGAAATCTCAGATTCTAGCCAGCTGGGAAGGCACACAGATATCCTAAACAAATGCCACGATTTATTACTTGAACTTAAGAAACTCATGTCCTTCTCCTGATACTTCTCTTCTTTATACTACACAAAAAGGGCAGAAAGTAGAACAAATCTTTACTAACTAATGTATTCCGCTTCCCACAGTGAGTACCGGGGAATAAAGTTCCTTTACATAAAAAGCCCTTTGTCTTAACAACAAGCCAAAGTAAGGAGCTTCATTGACATTTCAGAAGGAAAAAAAAATATGGTTGCAGCAGCTACCAAAAATGCTGCTCTCATTAAATGATGGAATATTGCACACTTGAACAAGGCCCTTAACAAGCCAACTGCCACAGTAAAAAGAAAAGGCTGCTCAGTGTGCAAGGCAGACTACCAGCTTGAACAAAGGAAAATATTCAAAAAAAGAACTATTAGAAGAATGTTCAGCATCTTTGTTTTTCAAGAATGCCTCACAAAGCCTGCCTATTTTGGAAAAAAACTCTGCACGCTTGCAACAAAATGTCAGAAGATGTTTGCATCAGCTCAATAACATTACATCTGTCTTTCGTATCAATTAAAATGCAGTCATGAAGTTCACAGATTGACGGCTAGAAATGTGCTTCTTACATGATAGATTTATCAGTGGGTTCACATATCAAATTAAGTTATGGATCAACTGATTTTTATGGAATAAGCTACAATGTTTCAGGTCGCACAATTCAATATGCCAAAACAGAAATCATTACAGCACAGTACAATGTGGCTTGCATTTTGTGGCTGAGTGTCTTGTGTGAGCCTGACAAAGAGTTTGTAAACTAAGTTTCAGGGCTTAAGTTGTATGAATCTACCAAACTGTGGTTTATTCAATAAATCATGGTTAAACATTAGGGTCTTTTGTACAGAGCTGATGTTTCAGAAATCATATTCTTTATTTTTCAAATCAAGGTTTGGAATTTTGGGAACAAACAAGAAGTGTGTACATGCCTTCTTACCCTGGTTTTTTTTCCCCTTTGGCCTTTAGAGAAGATTTCCAAATCACAGATTTATATTCAATAATCACAGGAAATTGTGGTTTAAGAAAACCAGGAAGTCTTCTATGGGAAAAAGTAAGAAGAAGAAAAAAGATACAGAAGTATGTAAGTTTCTTCCTCATTTTCTCTTTCACAAAATGGTTGAAAAATTGGGAATGTGATGTCTGAATACAAAATCACAGCCACTGTGATTTGTAAATCATGGTTTATGACAGCATTACCTGTGAATCAGGCTACATGGTTTGTTTAACCAGTTCTAATTAAAATAAACCATGGATTAGAATAATAATACACAAACCCAGTCATAAGATGATGATCCTATGCATATACTTGAGTGGAAATCCTACTGAATTCAATGGACCAACTACAAAGCAAGCATGAACAGGAATGGGCCGCACATGCTAATTTCAGATAATCACTACCTTGTGGTACTCAACTAAACCTTTTAAACACTATTTGAATATTACAAGGGACTGCATATCAATTTCTGGTACAATTAAAGTACTAGCAATGACCTTTCAGGACCAGAAAAAAAGATACTTTCCCCTTCAGAGGAGTTCTTGTTTTAACAATTACTTTAACAATAGCGAGGCATAGTTACAAAAAGGGAGAGGACATTTGGGTAGCTATACCAACACTTTTGGTATTATTTATCTTTTCAAGGGAAACCTGCCGCACTTCTTAACTTTCTGGAAGTTGGGGGAAAAAAATCTTTAGGGATACATGGCTTTCAATATTATTATTGTTCTTGTGAGACACTTCCTGCTATTTTCACACTTTATGGTTTAGCATTCAAATTGTAAACAGAAAGGCTATTTTAAATCATTATTTGGAGTTCATTTCTTTGAACCTCTAGGAGAGAATGCAGGGTATAGTTTTACAACCAAACAAATAAACAACTTCACTCATTTGTTGGGAAAGCTGGAGCTGTAGTGATGGACAAATGCTTCACCACTAGGTGAATTATTACAGAAACCATATATATAGCCACATACCATTATGTATATAACATTAGTCATCTGCTACGCATCTTATAACTACACCCACTTTTTTAGACTACTATATAAATCCATAATTAAAAAGAGTTTATTTATTAAACTTATACCTTACCGTACTGTAACAAATCTCAGCAGTTTATGGTTCCCAACTTTTTCCAAACTTCGCAACTTCATGATACGTGTGACTTCAATTCCCAGAATCCCCCAGCCAACATGCTGGCTGGAGAATTCTGGGAGTTGAAGTCCACAGACTTCTTAAACATGCCAAGTTTGAAAAATACTGCCTTATACCATTTGAAAATTACTAGAAGACCATACATTCTTTAATTCAGAACTTGCATACTCCAAGGTCAGTTGGGGTAAGGAACAACTTGCCACAGGCTGTATACTGTGTCACATCCTTTCACTGTCTTTGAGCCTCAGACATTTCATGACATTGGGAGAAAAATTCAGTAAAAAGTCAGTATAGCTTCAATTTCGAGTTCCCCCCAACACGTTGCCTTGTTGGACTACGGCTCCCATTTTCCCAATATGCCTGCCGGAATGAGGGCTGTAGTTTAGTGCAAGACTGCAGAAAGCTGCTTTCTCCAGCGAGAAAACCCCATGTCAAGACTGTACGTGCGTCACGGCAACAGAGAGCAAAAGCTGAACTGATTTTCTTCCTCTTTTCTGGGTAAACGGCCAGCACTTTTCCATAGCCCTATTCAGCACTATCCCAAGGAAGCAAGGAAAGAAAAACCTTCAAGAGCATCCGTGCCGTACGGTTTAAGGCGGTGCATCCCCTACAGATGGAGCTACGGATGGAGGCTCTACTGAACCCAACACAGCACTAGCCAACCACGCTTCAGCCTAGTATGTTGGGATCAGTCCCAAACTTCTGCTTGCTGACACGCTCGGGGACCCACTGCGCTTCAGCCAGAAGAAATCACACATCCACAAGCAGTCTGCTATCGACCGGGGAAACTTGGAGGTACTTACGGGAAACCCCCAACTCAGGACCCCCCACGCATCCTCTGCCGGGGGCGCACGTGGGATTGCGGCTGCGGCAGGGAATCCTCTCGAGCTCCAGCGCTCCCTGATTCATTCGGCCGCGTCCGCCCGCACAGTTCGAAAGGCCCAATCAGCTGACGCGGGGCGGAGCCCAGGCCTGAGGGAGGGGAGGTTTCGGTTTGGGTGGGTCCCCTGCGGCGTCCTCCGCGAGAGGCGCGGTCGCGGCGCTGGTGCTCGGCGTGGATTCAAACGGAAGGGTTGCAGCGGTCCTGGGGGCGATCCTGCTGCGTAGCGTCAGGTGACAGCCTCCGCGGATTGGTGTCTCGAGCGGGTGATGGGGGCCTCCTCAGCCGGGAAGGCAGGGGGTACGCGTAGATGGCGGCAGCCTTGCTGAGGTTTCGCCTACCTCTACAGCCTGTTTTGGA